AGCTACCAGAGTCTGTCGTCTCTCCTTTTCTTCTCCAAGTTCAGTGTACTCGTAGAGTCGTCATCAGCTAGTTACAATATACTACCTGAGACCGTTACAAGACGAGCACACCTGCCGAGGAGATCACAACTACATCGCTAGGTCTGCAGCGGTTAAGCCAGGCTGGGGAGGATACGTTCGAGCCTAGCACTATTCGCCCTTGAGGCCGTAGATTCAGATGTTGACGGTATCCATAATGGCCTACTTCAGGACCTCGAGGCTGACGGACTCGCGCTTACGGAGGACGCTAACTACATTCGGATCGAAGTCTGTAGGGACACACACAGAAGAGCCTCACCTTGTAGATGCTGAAAGCGGCTCATGTAAAATGCATTTGCAGGGCATGGGGTCATAATCACCGATGTCGGGTGTGTGTGTGCTCGATTTAAGTGGGTGCCGCTGTGGGTGGGTGTGGGACCTCCGTGACATTGCAGTGCAGCCAGCCCCACTGGCAGCCGGGGCCAAGGGTTAGGGGACGTTAAAACTTATTTCCTTTGCCACCCAGCCTGCACGGCTTTGTTCACAAACATTTCCAAATCTTCCAGACCGGCTACCACTGCCTCCATGACCACCGACATTCAACAACACGTCGTGCATACTACCGGATGACTGTTGTCTCTTATCCTTCCGCGGAGCATGTTATGAGCAACCGCCTACCGTACCACAAGCTACCCGTCCAGATTGCACCCTACCCGCCCAGGGACGGGCCCACTCCGCTACAGCTCAAGAGATACAGCTCTCGCTCCAATCTATATTGGGAGCGGACACCGTCCTCACCGGGTAATAGCCATCATCCTGGAGCGGACCCCAGAGAAGGCCGGGGTGAACACCAGGACGCGGATCCACGAAGAATCTCCGGCACGTGAGGATCCACGGTACCCCGAATTGACTTTGAAAGACACGAACAAGGATATACGCATTGAAGCGGTCGTTTGCATACTCGTGCATCTGTGGCCTATCGGTCAGTGTCGCGCGCAAAGCCATGGCTCTGGTGGCGGAGACTGGGAGACATACCCGTTGCACCTGGTACTGACTGACAAAGAACTCGGCGTCGCAGCCGGCGGTGGTCGACTTGACTTCGATATGATACCTGGTTCGCGCCGACCAGTCAGGCGACACGGGCACCCCCTCCTTCCGAAGCAATCGCAACATGTCACCACCCACATCATCGTAGGTGAAGTCGGCATACTGCCATTCCGGCTCGGTGAAGTCGGGGAAGCCGGCGTGTTTCCGCAGCCGGCTGGTCCAGTTCTGCGGGGACCATCCGGGTAAGCGATCCTTGAACCAGCTATACATCTGCAGACAGAAGTCAGTGTCTTTCAAGACCTGGCAGGTGTGGGTGAAGGTGGGTGGTGTCACGCTGGGTAGGTTAGGTCGGGGTGCTCGCCTACGTGGAACTCCCCCTCAAACCCAATCTTCTCATTCCGCGTCATTTCAGAGCTCGGATTTTTGCACGCACCGAAGCCTGCACCGCCGTAGTACAGCAGCTGCAACATTCCGCCAACCAACAAAACGATGATGGCGGGTCCGACCTGCTCAGCGGAACCGGCCACCCCCTGCACGCCATCCTGCATGGACAACCAGGCGAGAGCCGAGGCGCTGAGAGTTAACAAGCCGCTGATGGCCGGCGCATAGTGAAGCAGACGTTTCTTTGTCGCATTCGGCAGACACAGCGCCAGAAAGGCCGCGGCGCCATCCAATCCGGCGGCGGCCACGACCAACGAGGCGCTGGCTTTGCTCTTGGCCGCGAACCCGGCACTGTTGGCGGCGAGCCTGGTGGCTCTGGTGCTGTTTAGCGTGGCATTCCACGAGTCAACGACGCCCTTGATCTTCTGTTCCTGGTTGTCGCCGAGGCTGTCTCGGAGCGAGTCCTCCAGGAGGCCCACAAGGCTCGGGGTTGGGGGAAAGGCGCGCCGGCAACGGGTTTCGCCCGTCTCGAGGACGTTACATATCCCTGTGTGCCGAAAGGCAGGCGTTAGCTGCCGATCGGGGGTCAAAGAAAGTCCGGGCATCAAGCGCACCTGACATTCCCCAATACCAGTAGGTCGGGAGATCGGAGCGAAGCAGCTGCGTTCGATTGCGGTTGTCCGACTTGTACCCTACAGCAAGCTTCTCCAGGGCATCGGCCAGGAGGGCCAGGTTGACTCGATAAAGCGCAATGTCCTTGGTCGCCGGCGAAACGCACCCGATCAGGACCACAACGTTGGCAACCAGGCCCACTAGTATTCGGTGTCAGCGGGCTTTTCGTAAAAGATGACCTTGGCAAGGCAAGGCGGGCTCCGGGTCGCTCACGGACGGCAACGCCAGCGATCCACAGCGGCGATGAGAGCTGCATCGTCAAGCAGCGTGATGTTTGCCGCGCTTGGGGAGTGAGCGGACGTTGAGGACCTGCGTGTCCGAGACCCCGAATGTTAGGGAGAGGTTGCCGACTGTGTCGCGGTGCAGATTCAACATAAGGGCTGCAAGGTGGGTGACAAGCGCGGATCGGAACTCATGGGTCCCGGGAGACAAACGTCCCTGAAACGGCGACCCCGAGTCGCACGGCTCCTGCAGGAACACTTCAGGTGTTATCAACCTGGTCAGCGGTGATGCGAGGGACCTTGATTGGGAGAGGTTTCAGGCGGCGTTGCGGGTGGCTGGACGGACGCCTGATGATTCGCGCCACCCGACCACATCCCCTGGGCGGCCATGCAAGGAGCAAGCCACAGTACCAAAGGCCAGAAGACGCGCCGCTGCTGGGCAAGACGGTCCTGCCTAACGCGGAAAGGTTTGGCGGCTGCTCTGCAGAAGCCTGGCAAGCTGAGGTTTCAGTCTCAAGTCAAATGCCTCCGGACTTATGTGACGCTGAGGGTGGGCACCCACAAGCCAAGACGCAGGCACTTTCGGGCACCATGTGTCGTGGCCCCCGCGGTAAGTCGCTCTGGGCCTGGCTCTCCATCCGGAAACTTTATCGCAATCTTGATTTCTCCCTTCGCTCCGCCCCCTCAGGTTGTTCCCCGCTCCTCTATCTGTCGGCAAACTCATCACATCCGAGTGACCTCTCAGGCTCCATCCAGTAAGCGTCTGCGGAATAGAAGACGGGAGAGCAGGGAAAGGTTGGGAGTGGTGGGCGAGGAAGGAAGCGTGGTTGTTCCCCTACGCCGCTCCATACCTAAGCCTAATTAATCAGTGAACATGTAATGGAAGTTCACTACTTCCTCCCCTGACATTCCATCGCAATGGGAGGCCAGCTATCTACATCCAGCTTACCTACTCTTAAACATGCATTTCTTGGTCCCGATGCTCCAGGCATCACGCCTGATTAGGCACTCCCACGTGTACTACTGACTTCGTCCCGCTTACCCGACCCGTTTTCAGCCTTTTCCAATTCTTTCTTGAACCTGGCCCGGATGCTTCCGGAGCCTCCATCCCAACTTCATCTATTCAAGCCTCCAATTCTCCATGGGTCCGCTCGGCACGCCCTTCTCTCATTGCACGGCGGTGAACGCAAAAATGCATCGCCTTATAAGGGTGGTCGGTCACCCTTGGCCGGCGAGAACACCGCACGGCGGGTATAAGAATGAGTTTCCTCCCAATGCCGGACAAGTTATCACGATACCAACCGGTCTTCGTTCAACACCCGGGCACCCCATTTACTGCTCATCAGGTGAGAGAATCCAGTCCCAAGAGGAGAGATAGTTCCGTGGCATGCTGACATCACAGTTCATTCTCTGGGGTGTCGAGAACAGGGGTTTCTCGACACGCTTGTCAAGATGGCGCTCGCGAACCTCAGCTACTGCGCCGCACACTCGTTTGTCATGATCAAGTCGGACACCACCCTAATCCAGTACGCTTGCCATCATGGTCCATTATGGTTTATCTGAGAGTCTGAGAGTGTCTGTATTGCAAGGAACTGGGCGAAGTAAGGCTCTTCCTCGGATTTGACGTGGTTCGCGACCGCGCAGCCAGGAAGATCTTGCCGAGACGCAACGTCTGAAGGCAGAAAGGGAGCGGAAGCCGAAGAAGCGAAAGAGGGAGGAGAGCCGCTCGTTGTCGTCGACCACTGGGGTAGAAGCCGCCGATGTAATTGTCGTCGGCGGGGGTTCGGCTCAAGATCCAGATCAAGACAATGACCCGGCTTTGATGTTAGAGTCGGAGTCGGAGCCGGATCGCGATGACCCCGGTCCGGATTCGGCTAGCGGTACCTCCTTTGCGCTTAAGCTACAGTACAGCACTGTACGGCTCTACTCCAGCGCCATTATCAACCTCTATGCGCAACAAAAGACGAGAGGCGAGAACCCTGCTCTACATCCTAACGGTCTCGCAAAGCAGGCGCTTATGTGGCATATCCTCTGTGAAGCTGCTTGCCGTAGCCGTAAGGAGTGGGTGGACCGGATCCTGAACACGATCAAGGATGGGTATTCGCCGGCGAAGATCCCCGAGCACACAGCGGCGGCCTGGCGATTTGGCGACGTAAACAGCGGCTTCCAGACAAACGTCGACTTCCTTTTTGGCAACCACATGCTCCTACGGTCGAGCAACAGGCTGTCTCTGGAGCTGGCCGACTGCTTTTGCCTGGTTTTGCCGAAAAAGGGTATCAAAATGGAGGCAGGGAGTGTCCCGACTAAGGCCTTCGTCGTCCTTATGAACCAAAGTAAGACGAATCAACATGGCCGGTTCGAATATGGTTCCCGTCTTTTGGTCGGCCCAGTTCAACGCCTTTTCTAGCCAGGCGAGGGAGGCTGCGCAAGAGAGCTTTGAAGACGACCGCGGCACGGCTATTGAGAAGGTGATCCCGGAGGTCTCGGAGAAGCTCAGAACCCTGACAGCTCAACAGCTCACCGTCGAGAAGGCGGTAGAAAGACGGCATTTCGAGCTCGTACTGGAGGTAAAACAGTTGAAGGCCCAAGTAGCCGATATGAGTCGGATGGAATACCAAGTCGTCACCACCTTCACCCCGGGGGGGCGGCTACACCGTACCGAGCAGTTTGCACGCCGGCAGGGCTACGACTTCTCCCTATCATCACCGCCCGAGCCACTACGCCGGACACCAGCAACGGTGTTGGCCGGACCCCCGCTTACAGCGACGGCGATCTCTAGGCCAGACTATGGCTCAGTGCTGCCCACAAGGCAAATCAAGTCAAATCGGCACACCGACTTGCTTTGATTTGAGGCTAGAGATACTCGACTTGCCTTGTCAGTGCCTCGACTTGCGTTGACCCAAAGCTTTGCCAAGCCGCTTACATAATCCCCCGGAATGGGTTGTTCCGCACCGGGCCCCGTTTATCCCCCCCCTGAGCCACCCAGATCCGAGTCTCCCAGTCTTTACTGCCTCTTTGCCCACTGTTTCAGACACTCCACCATGTTGATAGTATTGTCTTCGAGGCTCTGGCGTTTTAAGCCCACTGTAAGCTTCGCACTGCTGAACACCCTCTCGCACTCCGCAGACATCGCTGGGATAGTAAGGACGTTGAAGGCCATCGTAGAAAGGCGAGGAAGACGTTGCCTGTTGTTGTTGCTACAGCGTTGTACAGTTTATCGCAAAAGGAACAACACCAAAAGACAGGTTGCCTGCCCTCTGCAGTAGCGACACCTATCTCGACGATGAAGATGCCATACTGGGAAATCCAGGAGGTCCTGACTGTTCGTTTGTGGAGAAACCGCTCCAAAACGAAGCGCCGCCGCCCAGACTGAATGGTGGGCAATTGGGCAACATCCGCAGGCAAGCTCTGGATGTCAGTGTCGGCCAGTGCGTTGGCTTGTTCGTGGAGGGTTCTTCGTGGCTGGAATAGAGGCGGTCTGACGATACCAGCCGTCGCAGTGGTAGAGGGGGCATCGTTCGAAGATAGCTCGGTCAGGGGCTCGGTCAGGGCTTCGGTCAGGGGCTCGGTCAGGCGCATCGCAACTGGGTTGGTAAGCTGGGCGAATAGAGGATGATGGATATCTTCGCAGTTCGGTATCTTTGCAGTTTGGTTGTTTGAAGGCCCGTGGCCGGAGCCCGAACTTTTACCGGGTGGGGGGTTTTTCCGGCCCGATGACCCACCTGGGCCAGCCGGGTTATAGACACTTGCCCCCCGTTTTTGAGCCCACATCAACCGCAACACTAGAAAAACCCTCAAGTTGGCGTTCCTGGAGTGCTAGAGATACTGGGAATAGCTTTAAAAGTAGTTAATTCTGACCTCAAATCAGTCAAGTCGAGCTGCCTTCGACTTGACTTGCCTTGACCAAATTTTGGGGTCGATTTGACTTGCTTTGACTTGCGTTGAGCCAAGCCTTGGCTTGGCGCTTTGACTTGTGGGCAGCATTGCTATGGCTATCCTCCAGCTACAGTAGCTGCGGTCTCGAGCCCTGCGGTGCTTGGGGCGCCCGCCATGACCGTTGCGCAACAATGCGCACCGCTCTGGCGCCACGGGTTCGCTATGATGCCCTCTTGTCACAGGCGTTGCCTGCGACATGCATGGATGGATGGATGGAATTTATTTCGCTCGGAGGCTCGAAGCCTAAAGGGCCTTGGCACGCTAACTACATCCGATTCGTTGACATTCGGACATCAACTCGTACAAGCCCTCTACTCTCTCCCCTTTTCTCACGCCACCTGTTGCCTCTTGACTTAGTTTAGCAGATCGACTTGGAGGCTGCGTTCTCCAAGTGTTCAGCGTCCTATCTTCAGCAGC